TTGTAAATGAAGTTGTGTTCAGCTTAAAATAACAATAATTCTCATTATTGATGAATCTACTGATTATTTTCTTGATACATTTATTGATTCTTTGGTCTATTTAATGTCAGAAAATGGTACATAAGTTTTCCCAAATGTCTCGTTTTGTTTCACTAACAGTTTAAAACCCAAAGACACAAGTTCACTGTCACATAAAACAGAGAAAAGCAGCGGATTCTCACATTGGAGGAGCTGGAAACTGATTTTTCTGGGTTTTTTAGTTAGAAAATATGACTTTTTATGTGATAAACTGAAGGATGAAGTTAAAATTCTTCTGCTTCTTTAAATAAACTACTTGGATGAGCTGGATGCGTCGTCACAGAGCTGAAATACTTCTACTGCTGCTATGTTATATGTACATTATATGTTATATATGTTGGATCTGAGTTAGATGTTTACTTCTTGCAGTCACTATTTGTATTGCTGGAACTGAAAATATAATTAAAATATTGTTGTTTTTTGTTGTTTTGGTACTTTTATGTATGTTTTTGACAATATTATCATTAAAATACACATATTGTTGCTTATTTTTTGCTTCCAGCTCTTGTTTTCTTCACTGAAACAAACACTTTTTTACTATTGACTCAATTATGTTGATGTAAAATCTAACCTTAAATCAAATATACCTACACAAAGTTGCTTGCTGGGACTGAAAATGCAATAAATTAAGCTTCTTTTTGTTATTTTGGTACTTTTACTTAAGTAAACATCTTCCACCACAGTTTTTCTGGACAATATTATAATCAAATGAATTATAATACACATATTATTGCTTATTATTTGCTTCCAGCTCGTTTTATTCACTGAAACAAACACTTGTTTTACTATTAACTCAATTATTGTCGAAATCTAACCTTAAATCAAAAATACCTACACAAAGTTGCTTGTCAGGACTGAAAATATAATAAAAGTATTGTTTAAAATGAAAATACTTTAAGATTTTTTTGTCATTTTGGTACTTTTACTTCTTCCACCACTGTTTTTCTGGACAATATCATAATTAAACTAATTAAAATACACATATTTTCACATTTAAAGTGTTGAAACCTGACTGTACATTCACCAAACACATCTGGAAGTCAGACACCGGTCACCCACTGCTATCTGCCCCCATCGTGGGGACTATCTGCCCTCTTCTGTGGGGGCCACCCCGCTGCATCAGAGGGGTCCCAGGTCGTGACACTGGAGGCCAGGATTGGGCCAAACCTTGTGGCTGTGCGTCCAACCATGAGGGGCCTGATGGGCCGAGGGTTGAGCTGCCTCCTCCTGTTGAATGGAAGAGGAGCCACATGCCTCCAGAATAAGAGTGGATCCTTTATCGACTCCAACTCTTCTTTGTTGATGTGAAAGCTCTGCAGACTCACGGAAGCAATGGATGCGCCCCCACAGACAAAGACAGGTATGTGCAAACTGCTTCCAGCTCTGCTTCAAACAAAAGCTTCTTCTTTTTTTTTTTTTACATTTTATTTCACTATCATTTACATTAGTGTTAAAAAAAATAAAATAAAAAAAAATAAAACACATATTCACTTTAAGTTCCTGCTTTTTTAAAAATAAAAAATAAAATCTTGCTTTTTTAATGTGATTTTAAACATATTAAGAGTTTAAAATAAGTATAAAGCGTTTTTTTTTAATGTTTACACTTTTTTTTAAACGCGTTTTATTTTTTGTATTAAAAGTGTATTAAAAGTGCAGTTTAAAGTGGGAACTAAAATGAGTGAAACGTGTGTTAAACCGTGTGTGTAGATTCCGTCGCTTTATGGTGGAAATCACGTTTTAACCATTTCTTTTTCTTTTTTTCTCCTTTCCTTGATAACCCGCAATGGATAGTAAGCAGTGTTAGAAAGCACAGTGGGTGTCAATATAAAGTGACGGCCATATTTGCCGGTGCCGCTGTTGTAAACAAAAAGTGAGAGACAGACGCTTCACTGAATTTCGGGTCATTTTTATTTCTTTAATTTACAATGTCTTTGGGAATGTCTTATAAACCCAATGTCCATCAGCACATTCCGGGAACTTCTGGGAACCAGGGTAAGGAGAAAAAATGGGGGGAAATCAAAGTATCCGTCCGTTAAATCGAGTGTTAAATTCGGGGTCTCGGAGAATACCTGGAGAAAGACCGTGTCTGTAGTTTTTGTCCAGTTATATATATAGGGTCAGATCCTGGGAGCTAGGCTAATTCATATCCGCCATTATTACTAATGTAAAAAGAGCGCCGTCCGCGGCGCGAGGCGGCGGCGAAACGACGGTTGGGATGTGAAAACGAGGCGGCGGCGGTTCGTAAACTGCGGTTCTCCGTCGTCCCGGGTCCTCGTCCCGCCGGTTGGGAGCCGTTACACGGTGACAAAAATGTATCACTTTGTGTCTTCTTGAGCCAGCCTTGTTCCGTTTCCTCCATGATGCTCCTCGGTCGGAGCTGCTGATTGATCTGCCTCTGAGAGCGTTTATGACTCTTCGAGGACATCTCGTGTTGGAGGTTGAATATTACAACCGAAACAAA